CTCTCTCTCTCTCTCTCTCTCTCTCTCTCTCTCTCTCTCTCTCTCTCTCTCTCTCTCTCTCAAATACATCAGCACCCATCAACCAGTGTATCGTCCTCTGCCATGGCATCATCATCATCATGCCGTCCATCGTCATCATCGTCATCGTCGCCCTCATCACATGAGGGCCATGATGAGGCCTGTGGTGGTGCCTCATATACGCTCTCAGACCCGTCACTGCTGGCCTGCTCATGAGTGCCATCATTATCCTCAACATCGACATGCGTCCTCTTCCCCACAACAGCACGAGATCGAGTTCTCACCCCGTCCACAGATGTGGGTGATGGCGAACCACTACCGATGGCACCCAATGATCCCAACAGCCTCTCCGTCGCTCCAACGACACCCTGCCTCCCTCTATCCCTGCCAAATCGACCTCCTGGGGGGCACCCCCGTGGTCTACCTCGCCCCGGAGGTCTCTGTGCTTGTGAATGATCTACCTCACATGTATCAGTGGTTTTCCTCTTCTTCAACAATGATCGATGACACTCGGGCGGGGAGTGGAGGAATCGTAGATGAATTGACCGATCCCCTGCGCACAGGCTGTGAATGACCCCGAGCAAGTGGAGGCATCGACAAACCACCACTGCCATCGTGTGAACCTACAATTACACTGTTGTTGAATGATGATAATCGTCCGACTGTAGCCGTGGCCACACGAGAAGATGAATGGGAGGGGAGAGCCAATCGGGGTCCTCGCACCACAACAGACCAGTGCAAGACGGGCAGAGGAGGAGCTGTATAGAATGACATGGGTCGAAGCGTGTCGGAATTCGCCGTAGTGGCAAGGCTCTCTCCAATCATTGTCGTCAACGCTCTGTGCCTCTATGCTCTCAAATGTGGGAGGGGGATCTGTCCATGCGGGAGTGACGTGATCGGCAATGGGAGGGGGCTGTACTGAAGTCTGCAGACTCTGCACCTCTCTCTCTGTGTCTGGCTCACTGCCCTGCTGGGTCATAACATCTCGCCCCGCTGTAGACCGTGGGTGTGCGGCAGTCGCGTCTGTACCTGTCTCCATGTCGCACGGCTGATCGGGCTCACGTCCTCTCACGCCCTCCCCGACAACAGGTGTCATCTCCGAGATGGTGGGTGCAGGGGAGGCATGCTCGGTCTGACCTGTCCCCATCTCCTCTTAAATGAGACAAGGCTGCTCATGGGTCATGGCAGCCTCCTCCTGCTCCTCCATGTCGGGAGCTGCCTCCTGCTCGTCAACACCGGGACACACCTCCTCCCTGTCATGAGATGCCTCCTGCTCCCCAACATCGGGACACGCGTCCTCTGCTACRGTCTGTAGGAGAGGTCCCTCTGAAGGTCGTCTGGCTGCCCCATCATCGAGAGGCATGTCAAACAACGGAGTGCTGGGGGGGGGTACTGACATATGAGGCGTGCGTGTCGACCCTGCGCCCGTGGCTGTGGCACTTCAACCTGCCTTGCCGTCAAAAATAGTAGAATGAAAGCCTGTGTCCACATGATGACCCTCATCAACCTGTCTGCTCCCCCCCTCCGGCCTGTGACACTCCTCAATGTCCTTCATGATATGAAGGGTGTGTCTGGAGCCATGCAGGAACCCGTCGAGGTGCTCCACAACATCGAGGCCCCCCCACCTGTCCCGCACACGAGACACTAGCGGGTCATCGTGCACCTTTTTTTTCCCCTTCCCCGTGGTTGCAATCTCCTCAATCATGTCCTTCCCTGCCCATACGCCATACGCATCGTAAATGACATCCTCATCCTCCACATCGTAATCATCTTGCGCCTGCAACAGGCGCGCACTGGCACGATCACCCCCCTCCTTGCTCCGGGTGCCCATGTCAGCCTCCACCTCCTCCGGAGTTGACATGCCCTCGGCGTACACCTCCTCTCAAGGATCGCCTACCGCTGGCTCTGGCGGCTCCTCCACCATATCCACCCACACATCCACATACCCCTTCCGGGTAGTCGACCGTGCTCTCAGAAGCTGCATGTTCCAATGAATGAACACGAACTTTCACAGACTATCACTAGAGAGTCAGTTGCGCCTCTTTGTGTGGATGAAGTCATGWGTGGCCCAATTCCTCTCACATGGAGAGGCAATGGACCACATGGCAAGCACCTTGATGGCGACTTCCTGCAGCCGCGGGAAGTCACCACCGTGCAAGTACCACCACCAGGCGGGGTGCACCCCGTGCTTGACCTGTGCGATCGCAACGGGGTTTGTCCACCATTTGGGCCTAGGGTCCGCGTGGGGATCATCATGGTGGAACAAGTACAAGCCGTACCACATCGTAGTATGCTCCTCTGACCCCGCTCCACCGTCCACGTATGTTCCCAAATGGTGCAGTGCGCTCTTCACCAGTGCGCTGTTAGTGTCAGCGAGGAGACTCACATCACACCGTCGCGGGTCAACAAGGTATGTGAGCGCATGCGCTGGCTGGCGCATCATGCCGCAACGGTAGTCAACCCCCTCCATAATCTCAGTCTTAGTTGCCTCTGGTAGGCCCATGTCGTGCACACGCGCTGCAATACTCTCAAAAAACGCCCAAAGGGTGGTGGGGGAGGAACCGTCTTTGTCCATGGAACGCAACACGCTATAAGCTGGCCTCATGACATCCTGCACGCGGTGCGCACTATCCCAAAATGACGCCAATAACACAAGTTGTCGAACAAGGCGCTCATCCTGCCCTGCCTTCCCCCTCCAGAGCACAAGCGATTATCACCTACCTGAAATTTCAGGGATGAGAAAGGTGACGTGGGAATATTGTTGTGTTTTGTTTGGCCTGAATTCAGGGTGGGGGATGTGTTCTTCGTGGTGAAAAAAGGAAGCTGCGATGATGAATGAGGGTTGTGAGGTTGTGTTGTTTATTAGTTCAGATCATACATGCGGCGCATCGCGATGCACTGCAATGCGCATGTGCGTCGCACGACGCATCCCGCACAACGCGCTCGCACTGCATGCGGCGCACCTCCAAAAATGGGGGTCAAAAAAAAAAAAAAAAAGTTGTGAGGGGCGGTAGTAGACCCGGCCCCCTGCTCTTGTAAAATAAGAAACGGGCAGCCTGATTTTTTTTGGAGGCCGCGCCTTGGCCCGCAAGCTTTTAGTAATTTGTAGTTCGGGTAACACTCTGTGTGTATGGTAGGGTTATTGCAGTCTGTATGGTAGGGTTCTTGTAGGCCAGATTCAGTCATGATGAGGGTCACGATTTCTCAAAACGTTCTCTTCTTATTACTTCTGAAGTAGAAAACGACGGAACTGACGGCCGTTTTTCCTGGAATGGAAAAAAATCAAGAATTTTTTTGCACGAGTGTCGCCCGACACGTCCAACCTATCAGAACCTCAACGGTAATTGCAGTCTGTATGGCAGGGTTCTTGCAAGCCAGATTCAGTCATGATGAGGGTCACGATCTCTCAAAACGTTCTCTTCGTATTACTTCTGAAGTAGAAAACGACGGAACTGGCAGCCGTTTTTCCTGGATTTGTTTTTTTTTAATAAAAAGAAAACAGCGTAAAGGAAGAACATCAATGCACGAGTGAAGCCCGGCGCGTCCAACCTGTCAGAACCTCAACGGCTCGCTGCACTACTCTCGACATGTACAAAAAGACATATATGGAAATGTATCTTTCCATGTTCAAGCGGAGGATTCAGTCTCATTTGTTCAGAGATTCTCCCCAAAAAAAAAAAAAAAGCTTCCAGAGATACGTTACGAGCTTACCTGATTCATCGGCCCTTTGCTTTCCACCATCCAACGAATGAATGAATCTTCCGCCATAACATGGAAAGATACACCGCCATATTATTTGTCCTTTGTGCATGTCTCCCCGCTTCCGGATTCATGTTGCCCGTTGATAAGGGCGGTTTCTTCGGTCCGATAGTGTCAGCACAGGGTTTCTTCTCTCTCTCTCTCTCTCTCTCTCTCTCTCTCTCTCTCTCTCTCTCTCTCTCTCTCTCTCTCTCTCTCTCTCTCTCTGGGGTCCCCGTAACTCGGTGTATCACGTAGAAAAAAAAATAAAAATGCATGTATACCACGACGCACCATGCGCGAAAGTACGAGTGCCGCGCAGCGCACTGCGCATCAGTGCGCGCGCATCGCGCACGGCACAGGTGCGCACCGCACTGATGCGCCGCAAGTATGGTTCAGATGCATTTAGGCGAGGCAATTTTAGGGGAGGGGCCTACACTAATTTCACCACTTCACTTTTTTCACAGCTTTCAGGGTCTCAAGGGGAGGGAGGGGGCAATTTCGGGACTTCACTAATTTTCACCTAGG